ACAGATTGACTGCACTGTTTACAGTTGTACTTGTTGCTTTTTTCTAGTGACTCGTTTTTCGACATCATTTTGTGTGGAGCAAAACAATGCGCAATACGTTTTCCTTGGCGCCGTTTTCATCCCTTTAGGAAATTACCTCCTTTCCGCTTTCTATGGTTTTATTCGCTGTAGGGTACTGAGCTATCGATCGTTCTCTTTTTCTTTTCAGTTGGTGTACTTTTGAACTCTTCACTCTGTACTTCCATCTAGTTGGTCGTCTGTCGTCTTCCTGTAATAAATCTGCTCTGGACTCTTGGAGCTAATGCGAAGCGTGTAGAACCGGTCAATCCTCCTTAGCGATTCCCTAACCTTAATATATCTGGCAACGGAATTGTTGATTTTCCCTCCTTAACAATGTCTACTGACGCTGATTTGAAGTAGATTACTCAAGATGAAATCAATCTAATGGCAATGCTGGTTACGAACTTCGCTGTTTTATAGTCGCTTTCGTTCCCCGCAGATTTACCGTCAGTGGATCAACTCGCACGGAATGTTTCTAGTTTTCTCTATGATCCCCAAACTGGCGTAACATTTGAATCATGATACAAGCGATATGAGGACATTTTCTCAGTTGAATTGGCCCTGGACACCTCGTGGCGACCGCTCGGTGGGAGTTGGGTTGCGCTGTTCTCCCTGCTAAGATCCAGGGCACCAATCCGCATGAGTCAGTGAACTGACCATGTGCTTGACCCGCTGCCTTTCGGGTGTACATTTAATTGAAGGCTTTGACTGAGGACCCCAGTCGTTCTTTTGTCAGGTGTGGGCGCCCTGCCAGTATCCTAGTCCATCCTCTTCAGAGGTTAGGAAGTGGTTTATGGCGCTCTTCTCGTAAAACCTAACGACGGGAGACAACAGGTCTACGGATTATAGGCTCACAGCTCGATTGGCGTAAAGCACGAGCATCACACATTGTCTCTGACGGTTGGAGGGCACATCCGGACGTTCAATTGTTTGCTACTGCCCGCCTCAAGCCAGGCAGCCCCTGGTCAAATTGGTGCAAACCCACCAAAACCCACCTGCATCTGACCGTGGTCGCAGGTGTATCCTACTACGGTCGCAAAACACATATGAATCGTTCGTGTACCTTAAAGGCTGCGTGTGACGGCCGTAAAGCAGATCCAGAGCTGGATCTCCTCCTCACTGCCTTGTGGGTCAGGCTATTGAGCCAAATGCTCCGGACGGATTCCCTCAAGCAAACCTCTGAAGCACAACTGCCACCTTGCGTGTGATTGCCCACCAATGCAATCGTATGCCTGCGCGCAAAGCACTCAGCATCGGGTGCTGGAACGTGCGCACACTACTGGACCGGAACCCCAGTGAGCGTCCCGAGCGTCGCACTGCACTGGTCGCGATGGAACTGGCGCGCTACAACATCGATATTGCGACGCTCAGTGTAACCCGGCTCGCTGAGGAAGCTAAGTTGCATGAAGCAGAGGCTGGCTGCACATTCTCTGGGTGGGCAACGCCGCCTCAGCACCACGTGATCATGGGGTCGGATTTGCAATATCCGATCGCCTAAATGGCCAGCTGGTGGGTGAACCAACGGGCATCAGCGCACGACTGATGACTGTAGGCCTACGACTCGGAAGAGGTAAATTTGCCACTTTTATAAGCACGCACGGTCCGACCATGGTTTATCCTGATGACACGCGTGATCATTTCTTCACTCAGCTATCCTCCGTGATACGGTCTGTGCCTAGGAGCAACGGAGTATTTTTGCTGGGTGATTTCAGCGCGCGCCTTGGGCGTGATGCATCGGTGTGGACAGATGTTATCAGTCCACATGGCATTGCTTCAGCGAATGCGAGCGGTGACAGGCTACTCTCACTGCGTGGCACTCACGGCCAGACGACCACGAACACTCGGTTTGCGCTGAGTGCGAGTGATATGGCAATTTGGACGTATTAACGGAGTGGTCATGCTCACCTGCTCGACTATGTCACCGTACGTCAGGGTGATATGCGTGAAGTGCGTATGACACTATACTTCGTGGAGCTGAGTGTGGCACTGATCGCAACTTGGTGCGGACCAAACAATACACATGTTTTCACGAATCTATGTTATGCACTCTGTGAATCGGCGTAAATTTGACATTTTCTCCCTTGGTAATGTGGAGAAACGTATTGAGCTGGAGATGGCGATGGTTGCACGCCTGTGTGATGTGGAATGCATAACCACAGTGGACGGTCTGTGGCACCACATTCGCGACCAGGTGACAGCTGCTGCCGAGGCGACCATCGGGTGCGCAAACTGTAAGCGGCCTGATTGGTTTGATGATAACGACGCGACGATTGGCGCATTGGTGTCGGAGAAGAATGCAGCATTTGCTGTACATGTGGCAGACCCCAGTTACTTAGTGAAGAGGAGTCAGTTTCGCAAGCTTTGACGGCTACTGACTCGAGAGCTCTGTCGCATTAACAATGCATGTTGGACGGAGAAGGCGAAGTAAATGGAATGCTACGCCGAACGTTGTCAGCGCAAGAAATTCTTTGACTCCTTAAAGGCGGTGTATTGACCGAGACTGGAGCTGCTGAGACCGCTGATCGATGGTAGTTCAGGCGTTACCTGCACACAGACTGCAGACATAATGCCGATCCGTCAAAAACACTTTGACTGCAAGGCAGCGGGGCGATTGACGTATACCGCGACAGTTGGGAACCGGCTTTCTAGTTGAACGGCTTTCGAGTAGAGGCAAACTACTCAGGGCGCCCACAGTGCCCCAGCGAAGCAGCAAGGACTACCGAGCTCGCAGCGAAGCACGAACGCCGTTGACAGCCGGGTGACTCATGCGCCTTCATAAAAGCCGGTGGCCATCGAGGTTGTTCATCCGCCCTCCTTTAAGTACTCACTTTTGTGACCAGAAATGAGTGGTCTGTGACCTTATAGCCGGTCACATTGGCTTTGACATAACGTTTTGCGAGCTCTTGTGGTAGTTAATGAGGAACCAGGTGACCAGCCCAGAACCTCCCACGCTCTAGGACGCTTCCGCTGATTGCCCGCGACTGCTTATTCATCTCGCCTGCGAACAGCCGAGATTTATTCACAGTTACCTTCACAAGGAAGGCGTTCCCCGATCCGCAACCTGGGGATGCGCTCGGTGGCGTACAGCTTTGCCGAACCGACCAGTAGTCAGTTCACTTCGAAGGTTAGGCTGGTATCCGGGGCTTCATTCTGATTAATTTAATGCAAATCCTTCTCGTTTCTGTTTTCTTTGCACTCTATTTGCGTTCAACCCCACCATATTTCCATCGTGAACTGTGTCGTGGCAACTGGATCCACTGCGCTTCGGTGCTCGGATCTTCAGTGTTCAACTGAAGCAAGACTCACAGTGATTTGTGTTAAGCCTCGAACAAGCACCATCCCCGTTTTTGTTACATTTTTCTCTTTATTGAACCCAAATTTTTCCTTCCGTTATCGCTCTTGTTCTACTTTCATGTTTGCTTGTTAACGTTAATGCTTAAATAAACAAGTATGTGGTGGCGGTTTGAGTCCAAGTCATCATGTTCTCTGACGCGTACGACGTAACTTGCTGTTATCACTTGTACTGAAGGGCCGTGCTACCGACCTAGAGATCCTGCTCGACATGATGCAACATAAAGCGTTTGCTGATTTCAGGGCCACATTAATCGGTTCGGAAGTTATCTTTGGTGATTTTCTAAATCGGTTAACAGATTGACTCGCACACCTCCGCCGTTGACAGCGTTATTGACAATCGTCTGGGTATAATCTTCAACTGGATCCGATGACTATTGATGAAACAACACATGAACGTTCCGAATAAGAAGGAATTCACATGATCTGACTTGGGATTACGGAACTTAGTGTATCTTAGGAAGTGTCTATAAATTAATCGCACCAAAATCTTCGATCGTACAAAGTGGAAACGCCGGTCACAACAGATCATTGAAAGAGAACTTTCATGGAACGTACTTACTGAAGTTGTAGAATTGGTATGTTTGCAAGTGCGTGCTAAGCAAACACAAAGCCAGTGGACGGCCGACCAGCCAGACACCACCAATATCTTGCTGATTTAGTAGGGTTGACGGCTGCTATGTATACGGACGACATGGTTCGTCACTGATTGAACCATACAAATTCAAAATAGCCTCTAGTTTATGGACCGCGACGATCCAATTCACATGGCAACCATGCTTTCGGCATGCTTTTTACTTTTTTATTATTATCTTATTTCAATTTTCCCTTTTGCTAGTGAGAAGCCAATCACTCTTTTGTACCTTCTGTTTACACTCCCCATACACTGACCATGGTTTATGATGTTAAAAGCTTGCTATTGTCCTCTTCCAGCGGCCTCGCACAAGCGCTCGTTTATCTAAGCGACCGCCTCCCGAGGGTCGATCGGACATCAGTTCGGAGAGTGGGAGTTCCGTTAAGGAGGAAACGGTTGTGCGGGCTCAAAGCCCATTGACCAGGTCTCGCGCGGAAGAAAAAGTCGAACTCCAACGTTTAAATGATCGTCTGGCGCAATATATTGACTTTATCCGACAGAAATCCTTTTCTCCTGGCTTCACTGAAGAGCTTGATGCTGCTGCGCAATCTATCAAGGTAAAATAAAAAATGACTGTCATTTGTTTACCATTGCAATCATTTTATTATAGCTATTCCATTTTTTGCTGTCTTTCGGTTGCCCTTTATTGCTTCGCTTATATAGTACTGCCTGCTGCGCTTCAGATCATCATGCCTTCGATTTCGATTTGGCACCCAGGCCCTCATTGTGCGCTGTCTCCATTCGAATGCCGTAGATGATGTTTTGGTGCTACCACATGGCTTCGGAGCAATGCATTGGCTTTTGTGTGTAGGGCATCTTTTGCGTCGCGACTTATTCTCTTGCTAAGTGTTCGTATCGTTAGCGACATTCTGTTCATCTCCGCCATTCACGACGTCGTTATGCAACTTTCCCAGAACCTCTAGTAGTCTTTCTAGTATTTCCTTCAAAACGAGACTGAACCTAGTGTGGTTAGACGATTTGCACACATCTCTGAACTAAACCATACTGGTTCCGCTTCAAAGGAGCTACTCCTACTAAATTGTCCGTAGTTAGATGTCAAATGAACTCATTTTCCTGGCCCCTGAGCTTAGAGTGTGAATTAGCAGGTTGGACTATAAGCCATATTCCCACAGTCTTACCGTCACCTTTTTTAGCTAAGCGGTCCGGTCACAGGGATAATCGTCCGCCCACTTTGGTTTAGACGCTCTTGCTGTATTCCAGTCCATGTCTAACCATAATGCTTCATCACCTTTTGACTTTACCCTGCATCGGCCGTTTCGCACTTTGAAAATGGGCCTCATCCGTTGCATTCGGCAAGCGGCTGGTCGGAACAGGACTAGTCTCTCCTTCCAGTGTCTTTCACCTGTTTCTTTTGAATCCCTACAGACTCCTTTTGTGAACCTTCTACGGTCCTCAGCGTGACGGCAACTGGGGGACTACTGGGGTTCTACCACTTGTAACAACTATGCCTCTGTATCCCCCACTGGACTCGTCATCATTTCACACTTCTCACTTTCTGTGGCTGTGTTCAACATTGTTACTCTAAGGAAGCTAGGTCTGCAGACTGCATTTGCATTCTCGTTGACTACCTTGGCGATTGACTTGTGCTGCCCCCACTTAATGTAAATGCAGGACTTAAGTGGTTGTCGAACTAGCTAATATTCTCGTTTCTGGAGATTCTGATGCGGCTGAACTGCATCATTCTTATCTTTGGGACCCTCTTTGTTGTCCGTTACCAGACTTTACGTGAACAACCATCAGTACGCAGCTCATTTGACAGCGTGATTTACTGGTTTCACCTGTCTGCTGAGCTTCTTACTTGCTTTGCAAACGTTTCATCACCAAACATGTTGACTTTTTCAGTGCGCTATTGAGTTAAATGCAGGCCGCTGATTTGGTCATCGACGATCAAATCAGCGGACTGCAGTTGACACAGCAGCGCATTGAGGAAGTTACCATATTTGGTGATGAAACGTTTGCAAAGCAAGTAAGAAGCTCGGCGAACAAGTGAGATCGGTATCAATCAACCCGAGCTACCCGTACATCAAATCGTTTTAAGCGTCATATACCTTTGATGCATAGCGTAGCTCTAGCCCCTTCCTGTGTGAAGCTGTCACCATTAATGCAGTTGGTTGCATTCCTGATACTACCAGAGACGTATTCTACTACCAACTCACTATCGGTCCCATTTATACATCCGCGATTGCAGTCTACGAACACTAATTGACGATTAAATCGAGCACTATTACAACGGTAAACTAGTGTGTCACCAACATTCAGCAATGGTTTTCAAAATGCAGACGAACTTTTACCGGAACATCTTTATTGCTCACTGTACAACATTTTAAGCACTCTTCTCCTCAAAGCAGTCTTCTCTAATGGCAATACACCGTTCCAAACGGTGCTTCCATCTTTGAAAGACCTCTTGGAAAGCACTTTCTGGGATGGTGCGCAGGTCTCTTGCCGCATTATCCTAAATCTCCTCAATGGTTTCGGAACGATGTCCTTTCAGCGTGCTTCTAAGTTTGGAAAACAGAAGAGTCTGCTGGATCTAGATCCAGAGAATACGGTGGATGGGGTACGACGAAAATTTGATGTTTCGATAGATAGTTGCGGTCAAAGAGCGATGTGGGAGCCAGCGCATTGTCATGATGCAAATCCAAGTCCGGTTTTCTCACAGCTCAAGTCTCTTCTTGCGTACAGCATCCCTCAAACGCTCTGGTATGCCCTGGTAGACTTTTTTGCTTACCATCTGACCGCGTAGTGCATATTCCTGATGGACAATTATTTTTCCGTCAAAAAACAACATACGTCGCCTTGCTCTTTGACAGACCCATGCGTAGTTTTTTGACGAGGAGACCATTTCCTCATCCACTGCAAACACTGTATTTTCGTTTCAGTATCATAGTCATAAACCCACGTTCATCGCCTATTGTGATGTTCTTAAAGAAGTTTACATTATCATTGGTAGTGGCAAGCAATTCATGTTTGTTTTCAACATGGTTCTGTTTCTAATTTTTTTAGGGTATTCATCCCAGTAGTTCACAAGCTGTATAGCACAGCCTAGTGCTGAAAAGCATCAGACACATTTCGCCCTATTGGAGCACGTCAGTGGTGCACATTGCCTCGGTCCCCTATTGTGGATCGAACCCATGACCGTTATGGGCAGATGCCAACTAGCCGGCAGCTTAAGCCACTGAGCCATGGGGGAGGTTGGCTGGGCTACATAATTTGCAAACTAACTGGGATATAGCACCACCTATCTTCCACTATCACTGACAGTGGCTAGCCTACGAGGGGATGACGTCCTATCGCTAGACACTATATTCATAGCATTTGAAACTAGGAGAGGCTATATATTTTATATTACACTTGAATAGCAGGATTTTAGTTGTAGTTGTATTGGTTCTGTTTCTGTTCGTCAGTCAACATCATCATCAACAGCAGTTCATCAGCCATTTGTATTTATGCTTCACTGTCGTACAACCACAACAACCTACAAGAAGAATACTTATAGGGAGATGGAAGAAGGGACTTACCGGAAAACTAATGCCCTAAGGAACCATTCCTGACCAATGCGCCTACACCTTATTAACAACATATTGTCACAAACAGCCGGCTATCGGGCAAAGACACGGTGGCATCAGCGAGGAAGCTTCCTTGCTGATTTTACTGCCCCGCGTCATGATCATCCATTATGCCGCAGTTAACTAAACATCAAACACACTTCAAACAGGCAGTGCGACCGGGGGACGGCAGCAGACGCGCCACTGATGTTGACTGCGAACTGTGTAATCTCTCGAGCCAAATACAAGGCGAGTCCCATGGACTCCAGGTTGGAAAGCTAGACGGACCAACGGCACCCAGTTTGGTCGTCGATGACTTCATTTCCTGCTGCCACGTCAACTTTTGTCCGCCGTCATTCAGCAAATGCGACACCAATTTTACACTGACACGATGCATCTCAAGTTTGTCACTCAAAAGTTGATAACTTGATCCTGCACTGATTTTTCGTCATAAACTTCTCGATCACTTAAACAATGGTTTCCACGGATCACAGCATGAACTTTCTCGGCATGATTGTCCGTTGTTGTGGTAGGTCGTCCACGCTTGGGATCTTCACAGAACAAGATTTTGCTGTGTTCAATGCGCTTAGACGACTTATAGCACTGCGTGTGAACCATTCAGACCTCCCTGTATGCTTGGCTAAGCAATTGAAATGTCTCTGTAAGAGTTTTTTCTACTTTGTAACTATTACACGTTGTTCTTCAAGCTCATTCGTTTTTAATTTGGCACTATTTCAACAAAGCCTGTACACGTGCTCACTTCAATGACTGTAGCTCGCCAACTAACGGTGAAAGCAGAACGTAGTAAATGACAGTTTGTTGCCTAAACACTACCCTACGCACGCTCAGTAGCCACATATCTATTTGAAATGTTTGCTTTCTTTTTGAACACGGTACATTTTGTTGGACGGCCATGTTGGAGTACGCGTTGTGTGATTGGATTTCGACGCGCAATTTCCATGTAGACCACGATTCACTTTGAAATGAACCTTGGTCACTGAGATCACTGTGACCGTAGATGAAGGAGATGGAAATTGGGTGTCGACCGCCCGCCCGCCTGCCAAAGGGGTAGAAGTTTCTGCTACTATTCCAATTGTCGTGGGTTTGAGGCCTGCTATCTATACCTGGTGAACTCACACCAGATCGAAATGCGTCATGGTGTGCAGTGTTTTCGGGCGGGCAACACCCAACGGTACATTGGGCATTATCTTGTTGAGGATATTGGTCACCATCTGCCGTTCAGTCCCCCCACAAGTCGTCTAGTTTATATACTTCCTGTGGTCTTCCCTTTTATTCTTTTACATACTGCGCCGTCGATCTCATAGCTACTGCTTTTCATACACTATTCTCAGATATTGATATTTCCTTCTTTAGTGATGCACTAGGGTAATTTGGGTTGCTTTAGTTCAACGGGAAGCATGCCTCTTCACTGTGATGGCCGAACACACCATTGCATTATCTGCGCGTATTACTTGCAGGGCAAAGTCAAGTCTTGCCTACGGACTTTGGAAGTTGATTGCGCACTTTTAATTTGTACGTTTGATCAGTAGGACGTAATTTACCAACACAGCCCATTGTACTTTGCTGCTATATCGGTGGCAGTGTCTCGTGCTTTTTGCTTGCAAACTACATTTTGCCTGTTCGGATCTGCGTGGTTGTGAGCGTTCTCTCAGTATCCAAACCCTTGAATAACCAACAACGTAGCATCCAGGCATCGTTACTAGATGCCGATTTACTGCTGACACATATCTTACCAATTTGTTTGTAGACCCTGTCCAGAACATCGGTGCTAATCTGATCCTCTTCGTTTGTACTTTCAGGAAGCCTTTAGCAACGTTGATGGTGTTTACGTCAATGAGCTGAGTGCTCTACGTAAAAACTTAGATGAAATTGCTTTGCAGCTTTCAAAAAGCCAAATTCAATTGAAAACCGTCTCTTCAGCGCGAGATGAAGCAGTTAACGAACTGCATGCTTCCAAAAGCCGTGAAGCAGCTAAGTCAGATGAACTCGCATCTCTGACATCTCAGATTGCCCGATTAGAAAAAGAATTGGATCATCTCCGAGTAAGTCATACTGCACCCACTGTTTGTTGTAGCTGTTTTCCATTAGCGTCACTTTTATTTTACTCTTTTTTAATTATATTCCTCTCTACCCGTGCTATTTCATCAATCCAGACGCTGTCTACCAAGTTACCAACTGTTCATTGTGGTGCCTCCTAGTCAGTGTTATTGGAATTCACGACGATAATCTCGTCTAGTTGGTCATCCAGCGGATATTTCGTCCGATTTTCCACGATTATGGTCCCTTGCTACCTACCCTAACTTTGATTGCCTAACATAACACCGCCACGTGGCACAGATTATGCTTGCCTTGCAGCAGTCCCTTTTTACGATGTGCGGTGAGCTTCCATGGAACTTATACCACACCACTGCTCATTAGAATGAAACGACCAGTGGCGATGTATTCGAGAGAACTTGTCGTTGGAAAACATCATGGCGCAATAAATACCGTGGCTATGTTGATTATCAAGTTACAAGTCATGTAGCCCGAAGATTGTGAAGTTCGTGTTTCAATCCATACAGAAACATGAGTATTGCAAGGCATGTATGTGGATCACTGCAAACTACCTACTGAGCCCAGGCTCAAAGCAGCGTTCTGTAATTAAACACCAGACATGAACAGTTTAGTCGATTCACGTCCCGACTAATGACGAAACTCATCTGGCCCACAAAACTGGTAGCCACACCCATACATTACGTACTATGGGGTGATAAAGGAAGTAATGACGGAATCTGCTGGGTCTGATGCAAGTTAATTCGTCCACCCCACCCAAAAACGATAAGTGGCCTGCCTCAACGGTCGGCGCAATATCACATCCAAGACCTGTTTCTCTACTCACCACTTAGAGCATCGAAACTTTCCTTCATATACACCAATTCACAACGCCTCCTGAACATGCTTTCTGAACTGCAGCTACATCTAGCATCATACGCCTGGGACCACCTCTTTTCAACTGAAACCTGATTGCATTTAGCAGTCACCGGCGCCGAAGTCGCCATACGCGGTTCGTCCATTGTGTTGAACGATCGCCTTAGCAAGGGCGGTGGGTTACCTCTACACTAGCGGAGCGTACTGCAGTGCGAACCATTGGATGGCCAGAAGCCATTGATCATCAAATTAACTAAGGCGTAACGACACCTGCTTTGGAATAGTTGTGTATCCTCTCGCAATATCCACCCCAGAGATGTGATGCCGTCTGATATTAGCCTTGGGAAGCGTCCTGCGACCAAAATGCAGCTACGTTCTAATCTCGGATGATTTCCATGTTCATAATCCGAAAGCTCCAGCATCCCCAAATGAGCAGTTGAAGATCGAACTGCCGAACTACCTCCTCTTGGGACCCTCCAGGAATCCTCCAAATCCCCCACTGCCTTGTGGGTCAGGCTATTGAGTCAAAGGCTCCGGGTGGAGTCCCTCAAGCAAACCTCTGAAGCACAACCGCCACCTCGCGTGCGACTGCTCACCAATGCAATCGTATGCCTGCGCGCAAAGCACTCAGCATCGGGTGCTGGAACGTGCGCACACAACTGGACCGGAACTCGAGTGAGCGCCCCGAGTGACGCACTGCACTGGTCGCGATGGAACTGGCGCGCTACAACATCGATATTGCGGCGCTCAGTGAAACCCGGCTCCCTGAGCAAGGTAAATTGCATGAAGCAGAGGCTGGCTGCACATTCTACTGGGTGGTCAACGCCGCCTCAGCACCACGTGATCATGGGTTCGGATTGGCAATATCCGATCGCCTAAATGGCCAGTTGGTGGGTGGACGAACGGGCATCAGCGCGCGACTGATTACTGTTCGCCTTAGGCTTGAAAGTGGTATGTTTGCCACTTTTATAGGCACGTACTTTCCGACCAAGTGTTATCTTGATGACACGCGTGATCAATTCCACACCCACTTATCCTCCGTGATACGGTCTGTGCCGAGGAGTGACGGAGTATTTCTGCTGGGTGATTGCAACACGCGCGTTGGGCGTGAGGCATCGGTGTAGACAGATGTTATCGGTCCGCATGGCATTGCTTCAGCGAATGCGAATGGTGACAGACTGCTCTCACTTTGTGGCACTCACGGCCAGACGACCACGAACACTCGGTTTGTACTGAGTGCGAGTGATATGGCAACTTGGACGCATTAACGGAGTGGTCACGCTCACCTGCTCGACTATGTCACCGTACGTCAGCATAACATACGTGAAGTGCGTATGACACTATACTGCGTGGAGCTGAGTGTGGCACTGATCGCAACTTGGTGCGGACCAGACTGTACATATATTATCGTAAATCTCTTTATTCCACTCCCACTGTGAATAGGCGTAAAGTTAACATTCCCTCAGTACTGTGGCGAAACATATTAAGCTGGAGAAGGTGATGGCTGCACGACTGTGTGTTGTGGAATGCATAGCCACAGTTGGCGGCTTGTGGCACCACATTCCCAACCAGGTGACAGCAGCTGCATTGGAGACCATCGGGCGCGCAAACTGTTAGCGGCCTGATTGGTTTAATGATAACAATGCGACGATTGGCGCATTGGTGTCGGAGAAGAATGCAGCATTTGCTGTACATGTTGCCGACCCCAGTGACTTGGGGAAGAGGGGTCAGTTTCGCAGCCATCGACGGCGACTGACTCGCGAGCTCCGTCGCATTAAAAATGCATTTTGAACGGAGTAGGCGAGGCAGATGGAATGCTACGCCGAACGTTGTCAGCGCAAGAAATTCTTTGACTCCTTGAAGGCGGTGTATGGACCGAGATTGGAGCCGCTGAGGACGCTGATCGATGGTAGTTCAGGCGCTACCTGCACACAGACTGCAGACATAATGCCGATCTGTCAAAAACACTTTGACTGTCTCTTGAACAACCGTTCAGAGATCGACTGGCCTACATTGAATGGTTTGACGCAGAACGATGTGAAGGCGAGTCTGGCGAACACTCCTACAGTTGATGAGACACAGAGAGCACTTGCTCGTCTGCGAAATGGAAATTGTGCCGGTGCCGACGGGATCCCGCCTGAAGTATTGAAACACGGTGGCCCCGCGTTGTTGACTGTACTGCACCACTTGATGCCACGCGCGTGAATTGTGGTGCAGGTGGCTCCAGGTCTGAAGGCTGTGTTTGTGCTACCACTGTACGAGGGCCAATGGAGCAAGCAATATTTTACGAATTACCGTGGCACCAAATTGCTGAATTGTATGTCCTGGACAATTGCCCGAATCCTGCTCAACCGCCTCTTGAGTCAGGTTTGGAACCGAACGTGGCGGAAGAGCAATGTGGATTGCGTTCAGGTCACAGCACTATAGATATGGTGTTTGCGGCGCGTCCGTTACAGGAGAACGGTAGAGAACGACACTGTCCGTTGCACTCGCTTTTTGTTGATTTCACCAAGGCATTTGATACGGTGAACCGCGACGCATTGTGGTTGGTGTTAGGTAAGTTTGGTTGCCCGAGTAAATTTGTAATTTTCATTGCTTGCGTTTTGTTAACATTTTGATTACTGTCGTCTGTGTCTACGCAATGCTGGCAGAACAAAACTCGAAATAAATACGGTCCACACTTAGTAACATAGATAAGCTGATAACATTGATGTGAATGACGTAATCAGGTCCAAGGCAATCTAATTGATTGCATCAGTTGTTTCTGGGCATAGAGCACGGGACAATTCAACCTTATCAGTAGCGCCTCGCCAATGGCCAACAACGTCGGATTCCAGTTGCGCAATGGCACCTTGAATGAATCGAATCGGGTCGCCTGCTGACAAGCCGTCATTAGGTGTTTGGTGATAGTCGAGACAGGGTTCCGATTCATTCTTTGCTCTGCTCCGCCTTGGTGAGATAGCACCTGCCTTAGCCGCAATGGGAAGTGTTCCGCCACCCTTTGAGCCAGCCGGCGACCAGTCTTGCCGATGTAAGTGTTACCGCAACTGCAAGTGAACTGGTAGATGATGTTAGAGACCGAACTGATTGGCGAGCTACTCGGACGGCTGTGGAGAGGAATCCTTTGTGTAGTGTGAATAAGTCGTATTTGGACGGTAGAGTAGGTGCGCATTAGAACGGACCTGAGCTTGTGACCAATTTCATTTGCTGCATGATCCCCATTGAACGTTAAGAACAAATAAACATACTTCTCCGCTGTTTGTACTGACAGTTTCTCCTTGGGGGGTCTTCTATGGGTCTAAATGAATTTCTCCGGATACCCATTGGATAGCAAAGTCCGGTATAATTGAATGTCCGCAAAGTAGTATGCGAGCGAGGGTACAGCTGAGTGGAGAGACCTCGGATGAATTTGCAGTTGTCACTGGTGTGAAGCAAGGCTGTGTCTTAGCTCCTGTCCTGTTTAGTATTTATCTTCATGCAATGATGCCTTGTGCTTTTGATGCGACTTGTGCTTGCGGTGTTCATGTGGAGCACCGTATTGATGGTGGGTTGCTGAACATCCGTCGTTTCGGTGCGAGAACTCTAGTCTGTGAGACAACTATCCGTATGTCGCTGTTTGCTGACGACTGTTCATTGTTTGCACACATCGCGGATGAGTTGCAACACATGGCTAGTGCTCTGGCTTCGACGGCGTCCAAATTCTTGCTCACCATCAACACAAGCAAAACTGTCTGTTTCTTTCAGCCTTCACCGGAGTTGCAATCTGCGTTGGTGCCGTGAAACAGCATTGGTGTTGAAATATTGAGAACCACCTCCCGCTTCTGCTACCTTGGGAGTGTGATATCGACTGACCAGGAGCTACACATTGAGCTTCGTATCCAAGTCTCAAAGGCAGCGGCGGCATTTGGGTAGCTTGAGCATTGAGTGTGAAACGACCATCAGCTTACCGTTGGCACGAAGCTGATGGTGTACAAATCCATGGTGCTATCCGTTCTTCTATATGACAGCGAAAGTTTGTTATTATTATTATTATTATTATTATTATTATTGTTATTATTTTTCAACACTTGACCAATGTACAGTTGGTAGTGCCGCAACAGAATTAAAAACAACAAAAAGGGGAAATGGGTTGTCA